TTTAGTTAGTTCTAGGCAACTCCCCGCGGAATGCCGTTCCTACCCAACCACTAACACTGGCCACGGGCAATTCGGACTCCCCCTTGGTTAATACAATACCAATGCGTCGCTTACCGCATGACCACCAGTGCGTCACTTACCGCACAATTACCAATGATGCCCACGCACCTAGGTTACATACCCAAGTGGTGACATCACGGTCTGCCCCAAGGAAACGGGCTTCCAGGGATACTCTCCCTGTGTGAGACCCTCACTGCCACCCTTATGCCTCCCATTTCCGTTAAGCAGCCAGAATACCTCCCGTGCCATGTTAGGGTTCGAAAACACACTTACGCAAGACTTCACAAAAATGGAACACATTCCACTATATCATACTCTTGAATCCATCGTTCATTATCTCATAAAATCAAATACAATGATCGCAACCCATTACCATCCCATTTGATTTCCCCTCTATTAAGTGCATTATGTTCTCAGTTATAGCAAAACAGGGTCAGTATAATTATAAATCCAAACTAAACAAGAAGTAATTTATTCATGGTAAAGAAAATTTACAATTTATCACAGATTACATATCAAGACTAAGACATTCAAGAAACATAGAATATAAGAGTTACAAACCAAAGAAGAGCATAGTATGTGGGGCAAGGGTCCACCGCCTTTAGTTTGTCCATTAGCCATATCTGAAAAGAGAGATTAAAGAATAGAGAGATGTATGTTGAGAGAACAACTTTGAGAGAAAAACAGAGCATGAATACCGAGTGATGTGAGAAATACATATTAGAAAGGATGGGAAATATTACCTGAAGAAGTAGTGGACTCCCCGCGAATTTGGTGGTCTCGTCGATGAAAGGCGTCTAGGCCTATCAATGTCTCGGCCAGCACCAAGCTGATGCAACTCTTGCCTTGTTTCAAACCTTGGGCCACTTCAACTAGCCGAATGCTAGACCTGTTAAAACTAGAGGCAAGAAAGAAATGTGCCAGCATACACAAGCAAAGGGCATGTTACCGAAAATCCTGCCAAAGAAGATTACCTTGGTCGCCGACCTCAGAAAATCGATGAATCAAGCTGGGAATATCTAGCTCTCCATTGTGAACCAAGGATTGAGCCTCATGTAAAGTGAGCCCATACATCCATCACTCCTTATTCTCTTATCTATAGGATGGAAGCTGTTTTATCAATCAAAATAGAAGTTTCGTCGCTGCGGGTTGTGGCTGAGTGTCAAATAGCAGAAGCAGACTGGCAACAGAACAGGTTCAAAGAACTGATGTTGTTTGATAAGAGAAGAATGAAAGCATTGTACCATGTTCAGGGTTATCAACATAGGATTGTCAGGGCTTTTAATAAGAAGGTTAGGTCCTGGAATCTCAAAAAAGGGGATTTGGTGCTGAAAGACAACCGAGCTCCCATTCATGACACTAGGGGCAATTTCAGACCCAATTGGACTGGACATTACATTATTATAACTATCTGGTCGGGTGGAGCTGTTATTCTCATGGACTTGGATGGTCTAGAATTTTCCCAACCGATCAACATGGACAAGTTGAAGAAATACTATCCCTGAAAGGCTCGCTAAGCCGAAAATTCAAAAGGATGAAAAAAGTCATCTACTACTTGAGCAAGAAAATGCGGGATTATGAGACCCGCTACACTCTGTTGGAGAAAGCTTGCCTAGCCTTGGTATGGGCTACCAAGTAATCTACCGGGATCGATTAGGGTTTAGTTGAATTATTCCGCAATGCTTTCTGATTTTAGGGTTTAAAACACAATTAAATAAAAATTCAAGGGCTTTACTGAAATAAACTAAAGGTTAGGGATTTAATGGTAATTACAAAAATTAGGGTCTCTACAACCTATCCCCCTTAAACAAATTTCGTCCTCGAAATTTTAAGCCGTCGAAAAGTTGTGGATAATTTACCCGCATTGCCTCATTGTGCTTTCAAGATGATTTTAGAGTTGGAGCTATTCATGCGTTGGAGATTGAAAATCAAAAGCATAAACAATTCTTAAAGGTTTGCATCCACATAGCAGATACGAAAGAATACGATGAATAAAGCATGTACTCAAGAGTTCTAAAACTATATTAACAAAAGGAAATTTACATCGTCTATATATATTTTACGAAAGGTCAGCCAAAAGAGTTATAACTTATATCCTAGTTATATTTTTCCTAAGTTAGCCATGGCTTGTACTGCGGTTCCTTGCGGTTCCTTGGGTTCATATGTGGTGCACTGCTCTTCCTCAAGATACTACTTAGTGAGATGTTCATTTTCTTCTCCTTGCAGTGCAAATATTCTGCCTGTTGGCCTTTGATTGTTAACCGGCCCAGATTTCTGGTGGAAGACCAAGATCTGTCCAGATTCGTTGACTGTTACGCAAATCGGTTTTTCTCTCAAACCCCTCGCTCTCTTGAGCTCAAACAAATTTTAGTTAAAATATAACACCAAGATTAAGATTTTGTTCAAATCTCACATTTCAAATAATGTAGCCCAAAACATAAAGATACACGACGATAGTTTCGGAATTCCAATTGAAATTGTTACTCTCTCTTTTTTTCTTTTTAAAATTTTTCTTATCACCAAACACAAACATATATATAGACCACAATATTAAGGGGTTATTTGAGATGAGTTAAGTAAGTATATATTTTGACCTTTTATTAAAAGATATGCAGTAAAGTAGAAAAATGATATGATTCCAAAAAGATAAAAAGATTAAGAAAAAAAAATGCTAATACAGATCATTCCAAACAAGTTCTAAATACATGTGAGATCTAAAACTTATGAGACAAATATTAAGAAAATTTGATAAGAAATCTTCTTGTATATGATTTCTTTTTATAAAATAATATCACTGTTGTGGGGATATATTTTCTGAATACCAACACGTGGCATGGTGACGCCGACGTGTCAGCCGAGGTGCCACGTGCCCTGGTAGTTAAAGCCGAGGTAATCTCGGAGAAGCCGAGGTCATCTCCGAAGATGTCGGAATCCGAAGATAAGGGACAAGAGTCCTGAAGCAAAGAGGGGACTTAATTAAGATAAGGATAAAGCTCTTAGGGAGTTTATCTCTATCTCCTAAAGAGTCTAGAGTAAGCACTAAGATTGGAGTTCATAGAAGTTATACTTCTAGTTGGACTTGGATTGAGTATATTATAAAAGAGAGGCACCCCCGTGGGTCTAAGGTATGTAATTTATGTTTTGAGTATTCAGTTATGTATACATTTTATTTTTTTCTTTCATACTTGAAATTAGGATCCCCAACTCCCGTCAATATTAAAACTTTGCCAATTTTGTTGGATTGAATGTACGCCGTACATGCAATCCGATTAATAAAATTTGCAATCAAATATGGGATTGTGAGTCCATGGGCTAACAATTCCAATCCCAATCCTATGCTATAATCCTACTAATCAAACATGTCCTAAGAGTTTGACTTTTCACACTTGCATGTGAAATTTATTCCCCTCATACTTGTTTGAGATGTCACTTCCATTTTGGGAGTTTATTTATAATCGTGTTTTATGTTGTAATTATTGTATTTGTTTGGGATGTCTCCCATTTTGGCAGTTTGTTGTGTTTTATGCTGTAATTATGAACTCATTCTATTTCCTTGTATGAAATTTAAAAAAAAAAAAAAAAAAAAATCTTTGTTGTTCTCGTGCCATAACATTTTCACTTCGTGTCTAAGTGTTAATATGTCATATCAAAAAAATTTCATCCTTAATTAAAACATAATAAGTGTATGGTGGCTCCGTTTGGTTTAATTTTTTAAAAAAGTTTTGAATTTTAAATTGTATTTTGAAAGATAAATTTTTTAAAAGAGTTTTGAAAGCAAAAACTTGTCTGATTCTAAGCTTTGAAAATAATTTTGAGATGATTTGTAAATTTATTTATATATTTATTTAATTTATTTTTTGGTAGTTGAAATATATGGTGTGAGAAAATTGGTTGATTGATTGATATATATATATATATATATAAGGCAAATTATATTAAACTTCTCAAACTATTGACCATTTACACTTTACCCCCTAATATTGTAAACCCAACAATTGCCTTTCAAACTATTTGAATTTGAACATTAAGGCCTCGTTTGGCAACATTTAGTTTCAGTCAAAAAGTCAAAAAATCACTATAAATTGTCACATCACTCTCTCTACTTTTCTGCACATCTTTTCGTAAAAAATCAAAAAGTTACTAAAATAGTCCTTCTATTAGTTATCTATTAGATTTTGGATGAAAAATTATCAAGTGCTATGCACATGATGACTGTATTAAATTTTATGACCAAATTATCCTATTTGATCTTTTGTGAAAATTTAATATAATCATTATGTGCAAAACACTTGACAATTTTTCATTCAAATTTCTAACAAATGACTAACAGGACTTAGGCCTCGTTTAGGTACAGGCTAAACCAAATTAAATAATTTTCCCAACAAATTGAATTCCATAAAAATAAATATCTCTATAATGAAATTATTCATAAAATATTTGGTTTCAACTTAATTTTATTTTTCCAATTTACAAAACTATACTCTACTATGTTATTATTTTTTTTTAGATTGCATCCAAAATACATGATAAAAGACCAATCATATTAATTTTAAAACCCTATTTCAAATAATTTTGGAGTAATAATATAAAGAATTTAAAAATATCATAATATCATTTTGTAAAAATAATATTAAAATATCTCATTATATATATACATGTGTTATTTATCTATTAAGTTGTTTCTCACCTATTTGTCCAATTCATTGCCACCGGTGGCCGCCACTATGGGCAACTTTCTGATAATGTTACAGAAGGAAAATCACCATCGTCGATCGAATCAGTATGTTGCCTGACTCTCTCCTCGTTCATATTCTCTCCTTCTTACCCACCAACACCATTGAAGACTCTATCAAAACTCATGTTTTGTCCAAAAGATGGCAATACCTTTGGACTACCCTTCCGTCACTTGTTTTCCGTTACCGCTTTTACGAATCATGTGATACTAGTTATGAAAGAAATTATGACTTTATCAGATTTGTTGACAAAACCCTACTTCTCTGCAACTCTTCTATGCTTAAAAAATTCGTGCTTGATTTCGATTACATGTCGGAATTCGCTTCCAATATCAACTCATGGACTCTATTCGTCTTGCCACAGGAATTGTTTACCAATTCATCCTTCAGAGAATTGCGTTTTTCCTTGTGCAGCTTGATGCCCAAAGGAGTTGTTTGCTGGAAATTGCTGAAGACATTGTCAATTGGGCATGTCAAGTTGAATGATGGTGTGATTGACAAGATATTAGAGGGTAGTCCTGTATTGGAGAATTTAGAATTGTATTACTTTTATGGCTTCACTCGTTTGCATGTTAGCAAAGCAAATCTGAAAATTTTGATCTTGAGAGAATTTTGGGAATTGATGGACATCTATGAAGGCGACGGTGGAATATTTAAATCCTCGAATAGTGAAGGATTATTTCTGTTTGCAACTTTGCCATTCAATTCATAAAAAAAAATTGTGCATATATCTTAAATTAGGATGGTATAGTAATGGTTAGTACGAACTGTTAGTCTATGGCATGGGTAGCGCCCATGGCGAAGCCATATTGCCAACGTCTATAAATTATTGAAAAAAATGTTCCTTTTCGTTCCCTAGTGTTCCTGCAGTTGCAAATGTTTTCATATTTTGTCCATCTTTTGCGCTTGTTTTTTTGTGCTAAATGATGTTTATTATCAAAGTCCATTGTTGTCGATTACAATCAATATTATTCTTAGGTTTCAACTAAGCTGATCCTATCCTTTGTGGTTACTTTTGCTCCAATGTAAGGAGTGATTGTTTGTGATACATGATTTGAAAATTAAACTCAGCTGAAGAAATTCCATCTAGTTTGTTCATTTTTTTAAACGCAATATTTTTATGGTAAGGTCTGCGAAACAATGTGCTAGAATCTTCTAATTGGTTTCATCTTTTTTTTTATTTATTTATTTAATTTGTTTTGCATTTTGCTTATGATGGAAAAAGGTAATGTCAATAATGGAAATGAAAGGTTTATGTTCTCCACTGTCAAAGTGTGAATGTTTAACACTACGTACATGCATTGCGAAATCTGTCCTCCCTGGAATAGCAAGCCTCTTGGAAAGTTCCTCTCATCTAGACGACATTAGTGATAATCTCAACGTTCTCTTCGTGCCCTTCCCAGAAGGAGGTATGTTTTTTCATAATCATTTCCTTAATTAATTTCTTTGAGATAAGTAAAAACAACTTCAATAAAGAATGGCTTTGAATCTATCTTTATGTATTTTATCTAATAGTGCCAAGCAATTGTATTGCTTAGTAATAACTATAATTTGTTTGGGTGGTTGATTGTAGGAAGTGATTGATGAGTTATTTGTCTAGATTGGATGTGATTATTTTGAAAATACTTCTTTTTTTTTTTTAATTATAAGTAAATAAATTGTACTTTCCCATCATGTTACCTGTGAAGTGGAATTTTGAATCATTTCAATGAGTATAAGAAACTGATCATTGCTAAAATTATGCCGACACCCTGGAATTTATGCATAGATTTCAGTTTATTGAATTCTTCATCTGCCGTGGTTTTGGAACATTCTCACCTTCACCCACCTTTTTGATGTTGATGGGGAGAACTACTGGACATCACAAAAGAGGACTTTTAAGTGTTTGATGTTGCATCTCAAAATAGTTAAGTTTACTCGTTCAAGTCAGATATACTGTTGCGTGGACTTCTTTTTTCTGCAATTTCTATTGAAGAATGCGAGGGTGCTGCAAAAGATGTTTATCCATAACCCGGCAATCAGACGTGGCCTAAGGGGAGACAATACAGTGCCGATGGAACTTTTCCAAGAAGCTCAAAAGCTTTTAAGTTTTCCAAGAATCTCTCCTGATGCGGTAGTGATGTTCGATTAGTGAAATGGAAAACTCAAGTAATTCGCTTTCTCAGTGGAAACACTACTGTTTTTTCCTTTGATTACGATTTTGTTCTGTTTGACTTTTGAAGCAGGCTATACTTCATTGGATATTATTTTGTTTATATCTAATGGCAGAACTTTAGAAACTCTGTTATGTGGGGGTTGCACTTTATAAACTGTGCTATGCATGAAGATTATTTAAATTCACTTAGTTTTTTGAACCTGGACTTGTTTTGTCAAGAAATAGAATTAAGAAATAAACAGGCGGTAACCACGGTATTCCGGATCCCAATCCATAAAATCTTGGATCGGATTCGAAATCAACCATATTTCAGGACTCCGGAAAGAGCACCAGGGGAATTCATGGGAAGAAACGTCGGCAGACGTTGCGCCTACCACAATGAAGAAGGGCATCCAACTCAAGGTTGCAGAGACTTAAAAGCACACTTGGAAGACCTAGTAAGGCAAGGCCTCCTGAGGGACCTGGTCGGTGAGGCCAGAACAAGGGAAGAACAGGCAAGGTTGCCTCAAGCACCAGCAGCACCCCCTCCCCCAGCACAGCTACCACAGGCAGGAGAACCAAGGGTGGTCAATGTGATCCACTCAAGGGTCAACGAAAACGAAGTCAGAGGAGAAACCCAGAGGGTAAGACATCTACAGCATATCTACCAAGTTGGGGACAAGAGACATCGGCCAGAAGAATGCCAAGGGCCAATGATAGCCTTTACCGAAGCCGACCTAGAATTAGTCCAACATCCGCATAATGATGCCTTGGTAGTATCCCTCCAGGTTGGGGATGGGGATAGAAAATTAGGGTCAGGCCCAAGGGATATTTGGGCCTTAGAGAGGTAGACAGGCCTGAATAGTTTTTTTTTAAAAATTTTTTCTATCAAAATTTTATTTTTGTCACCAAAAATGACACTGGGTGTAACGACCTCGATAGGCCTTCACCCCGATGACCTAGAACAATCCAGCGGCCCGATGGTCGGCTTTAATGGAACGCCGACGTGGCCACTGGGTGCAACAAGCTTGGAGGTACAAGCCGGCACTAAGAAGATCAGGACAGAATTCCTGGTCATTGACACACCCTCACCATACAACATCATCCTCGGAAGACCGTGGTTGCATGCAATGGGGGCAGTTCCCTTGACGTTGCATCAACTACTCCGATTCCCAACAGAGCATGGGATTGAAGAAGTCAGAGGGGATCAACTACAAGCCAAAAATTGCTCCATGGCAGCAATAAAATCCACCTGTAGTATACGGGAGCCAAAGAAAGCAGAAGTTGAAGATGAGGACATAGAAGTCCTCGAAGACGTCGGGAAAGAACCAACCGAGAAAAGCGAAGAAGCGCTAAAGAAAATCCTCGTAAAGGAGGGCGACGAAGAACGATTTTTTCTCCTCGGCTCTGGCCTAGCTAAAGAAGAAGAAACGAAGAGGCGCTAAAGAAAATCCTCGTCCAGGAGGGCGACGAAGAACGATTTTTTCTTCTCAGCTCAGGCTTAGCCAGAGAAGAGGAAAAAGAACTGGAAGATTTTCTAAGGGCAAACATAGAGGCGTTCGCCTGGACACCTTATGAAATGCCTGGCATTGACCCCGAGGTCACCTGCCACAGTCTGAATGTCGACAGATCGGCAAAGCCTGTGATTCAACGAGCCAGAAGGCCGACGTTAATGCACGTCGAAGCAGTAGAGGAAGAGGTAGACAGACTCCTTGAAGCCAGGGCCATCCGAGAAGTTCAGTACCCAACATGGCTGTCCAACACAGTAGTAGTAAAAAAGAAGAATGGCAAGTGGAGGGTTTGTGTAGACTTTACCAGCCTCAACAAAGCTTGCCCCAAAGACAGCTTTCCTCTGCCCAAAATCGACCAACTGGTACACGCCACTTCGGGACATGAAAGGATGAGTTTTTTAGATGCATACAGAGGGTACCACCAGATTGCTATGTACCCTCCAGATGAGGAGAAAATCGCGTTCATCACACCGAAAGGCCTGTACTGTTACAAGGTAATGCCTTTTGGGCTGAAAAACGCAGGAGCGACCTATCAGAGGTTAGTGACAAAGATGTTTAAACACCTGATTGGCAAAACGGTAGAAGTTTACATCGATGACATGGTCGTAAAGACCAAGAAATCAGAAGGTCATCTTGCCGACCTAAAAGAGGTCTTTGACATACTCAAAAGATATCGGCTCCGACTCAACGCCTCGAAGTGTGCCTTCGGAGTTGGGTCAGGTAAATTTTTAGGATATCTGGTAACAAGAAAAGGCATTGAGGCCAGCCCAAACCAAATCAAGGCCATCCTAGAACTACAGAGTCCGACATCGGCAAAACAAGTTCAAGTACTTACTGGAAGGGCCGCAGCCCTAAACAGATTCATCAGCAGAAGCTCAGACAAATGCAGACCCTTCTTTAACCTGGTGAAAAAAACCACAGACTTCCTATGGACAGAAGAATGTGAAGCTGCCTTAGCCGACCTAAAAAAGTACTTGACCACAACCCCGGTCCTTTCTAACCCAATCCCAGGGGAGGAATTGTTTTTGTACTTAGCAGTCTCTGAACACGCAGTCAGTGCAGTGCTAATCCGAGAGGAAAAAGGGGAGCAGAAGGCTGTCTATTATGTAAGTAAGACTTTGGCTGACGCAGAAACAAGATACCTACCACTGGAAAAATTAATGCTAGCCTTGGTAATGGCCTCAAAGAAATTGAGCCATTACTTTAAAGCACACAAAATTGTGGTTCTAACAGAGCACCCACTGAAATCCTTATTACATCAAGGAGACTTAACAAGAAGGATAGCAAAATGGGCAGTAACACTGGGCCAGTTTGACCTAGAATTTAGGCCAAGAACAGCAATAAAGGGAGAGGGTAAGACATTTACAGCATATCTACCAAGTCGGGGAAAAGAGACATCGGCCAGAAGAATGCCAAGGGCCAATGATAGCCTTTACTGAAGCCGACTTAGAACTGGTCCAACATCCGCATAATGATGCCTTGGTAGTATCCCTCCATTGATTATCCTTGAGAAACATACTGACTTGATCGTCGGAGTGCCCCCGGGTGGAAGAACCACCGCCGGAGCTTTTTCTTTCTGTTACAGGTTAACTGAAGCCATCTATTCTGCCAGTGCTCCCCAGAGAGATCATTGTAACTCATGTATCGAGAGATGAAGATGTAAATGTTAACATGGTTCAGAGTCCGGATAGTGAATATTCACACAATGTCACTCAAAATGGCGAAAGGAGACCAGCGGTCGCTAATAACCGGCTCGGCCGCCGAGCCTCAAAGCAGCCCAGGAGGTCTACGGTGACACCCCGAAATTACAGAGGGAAGTTTAATAAATCAAGTTTTTTCTCAATTTCACCATTTAAGATATCGTATGAAATAGCGCCACGGGGACAAATCAATCGCAGAAGCCAAGCTTGATTATACCACCAATCTCCCTATGCTAATCACGTGCATAGTTAACTATTCATCTTTTATCAAGAGGATGTCAATCATCGTGTATATATTCCATATACAACAACAATATATAGTCGGTAGCCAAAGCCCGGTCACTCAGAGCGATATGCATTGCGGGCCATTTAAAAACACTCTTATCCAATGTGAATGTTAACCCGGTAATGTCACATGTGATATTCCACATTATAACTATTATAGCCAGCTATTCCGGACCCTCGGTCCAAAGGCTTACGCGCCGCCAACCGCCCATTATCCCCACATCATATTCAATTGCATGATATATATAAAACACACCCGGTCAGCAAATTGTAATCAACATTGCAATGATATACTAAAACTTCTTAATGAAGCAATTTTCAAGGAGTACACCACATTTACCAAACATACTCACGTTTCCACAGGGCAACTTAAGACATATGTAAGCTCTTAAGTGGTCCTATACTCACTTTCGACCAAAATCTAAATAAGTTCATTGCAATAAACGGCCATGTCCGGTGTATTTTTTTTTTTACGGACGTTCCAATTCACGGAGCTCGGTGGCGCCCTCAATAGTGGTTTAACCCATATCCCTTCCTATTCCACTCCATTGATGTTTGTCAAAATAGCTAATACCAAAAGTGGGAATGGTCTTTGCCTCGCAGGAAACTGTGAATACCCATTGTAACGCCTATCCAATAACTCGAAACCGAGACCTCTCTCCTCATGAGAGAATCCTCATCAACCACTAAAATCGGTCCAACCAACACATGTGAGTGCGAGTGTAGTCTCAGTGACTGTCCGCAGCAACATCGGGCACCTATGGAAACATGTCTAGTTTTATACTTTTTCAATCATAGTTAATTCTGTTATACATGTCAACTGTGAACATTCACTATTGTCACAGACACCTGCGGCGCATCGGAATAGCTAAACGATAAGCAGTCTCGCCAATACCTCAAGGATCTCAAACGGACCAATGAAACCGAGGGGCACTTCCCACTCTTCCCAAACGACTCAGTCACAACCCCGTCTAGGTGAGCAAGCTCAAGACAAGACATGGGACTCACGTGGGCCGGGATTTTCGGGTAGCTACGAGGCGCGGACTAATTTTTACAACTCCCTATCAATGTGAAGTTAACATGTCATGGTGAATATTCATGTTGTCAACCGGGCCGGGACCGCCCCGGGCGCGGGTTGGGCCTTTGGCCGCCCATGCCGCGCCAATTTTATACTCTTATCAATGTGAATGTTAACAATGTCAATGTGAATATTCACATTGTCAACCGGCCGCCCGGCGCCCATGGCCGCGGCCGGGTTTCGCGCCGCCCCACGGGACGGGGGCCAATTTTACACTCCTATTAATGTGAATTTTAACATGCCAATGTGAAATTCACATTGCAACGGGCTGGCCCACGCCTCATGGCTCGCGTGCGAGTTTCGGCCGCCCACGGGCCAATTTACATTCCTATTAAAATAGAATGTTCACATCAATTAAATTGCTAATCGTTGAAAAATATTTTAAGGTATCAAATTAAATATAAGGGGCATAGTGTTCAAGAATAGTGTTAATCAAGAAAATTACTTCATAATAAAACATACATACATGAGACTAAATAGGTAAAAAATTCTTTCATAAACTTCTAGATTAAAACGCTTAAATTAAAAATTCAATAAAAATCCTTTCCAAATAAGTTCAATTTTGTTTGCAAGTTCATC